GCACAGAAGGAACACATGTGAAGAGCCATAGGGAGAAGATAAACATTTGTAGGTCAACAAGAGAGGCCTGAAACAGATTATTCCTCACAGTTATCTGACGGAACCAACCCTGCCAATAACATGGTACTGGACTTCTGGCCGCCTGCTCTGTGGTACTATATCAGCCCTAACAAACTAATTCACTACTCTTTTAGGTCATAATAGCTATCATAATTTATAATTACATGTGTGTTCATGTCTTTAATGTTTGCCTCTTTCATCATCTTCAGAATGGCAGGAAATGGATAATTTGTGGACACAGAACCTGCCTGGACTACCTGCCTGGACTACCTACCTATGCCACCTGCCTGCACCATCCCAGGTCTCAGTAAAACTGCAACCCTGCTATGTCAGGGAACAGAAATAGTACAACAATCTAGCTAACAACTAAGCTATCAGAACATAGAAATTAAGTTAAGGGAAAGATAACAGGTGATTAAAACCCCCAACTAATCAACAACACACTGAGCAAACAACAAAATAGAAACATGGGGAGAAAAGAGCAAGGGAACCGATTCCTCAAAAGACTAACAATAACATAGTAAAGGATTCAGTGGAAAGTGAAGGGCATGAATCTCCAGTTGCTGATTCAGAATAATGATAACAATATTCAATGAGCTTAAAGAGGATCTTAAAGAGGACATACAAAAACAACACAATGAATCCCAAGAAAACATGAATTTTTTAAAAAATAACTCAAGAAGACACAGAAACAATTAAATGAACACAAAGAGGATCTCAACAAACTCTGAAACAAAACTAAGAAGATTATAAAAAAGAGATTAATGAAATAAGGAAGACAGCACAATATATGAAAGAAGAGTTTAACAAAGATATGGAAAGTCTCAGAAAAAATAATCAAATAGAAACCCTGGAAATAAAAACTTCCTTAAGTCAAATAAAAAACACAGTTGGAAGCCACTCCAGCAGACTGGAACAAGTGGAAGACAGAATCATAGGGCTCAAAAACAAAATAGATATTTTTTAAAAAATAGAAGAATTCTTAGACAAAGGACTCAAGATCTGTGAAAGAAATATGCAAGAACTCTGCAACTCCATCAAACAGCCGAACCTGTGAATTGAATCATGGGCATCAAAGAAGGAGAAAAGGTGCAATCCAAAGGTATAGACACCACAAACAGCTTCAGCAAAGTAGCAGGATACAAAATCAATTTACAAAAATCATTAGCCTTTCTATATGGCAAGAATGAACAGATGGACAAAGAATATAGGAAGATAGCTCTATTTACAAAGTCTCAAAATATAAAATACCTAGGAATAAACTTGACAAAGGACATGAAAGACCTCTACAAGGAAAAACAATAAACTATTGAAAAAAGAAATCAAAAAAGGCTCAGAAGATGGAAAGATCTCCAAGGCTCATGGATTGGTAGAATCAATATTGTGAAAAGCAATCTACATGTTCAATAAAATTTCCATCAAAATTCCAATGACATTCATCACAGAGACTGAAAAATCCACCTTAAAGTTCAATTGGAAGCACAAAAGTCATGAATAGCCACTAAGGCAATATTGAACAAAAAGAGCAATGCTGCAGGGATCACAACACCTGACTTTAAACTCTACTACAACCCATAGCAATAAAAATAGCATGGTACTGGCACAAAAACAGATATGAAGATCAGTGGAACAGAATAGATGAATGCAGATATGAACCCACACAGCTGCACCCACCTGATTTCTAACAAATGCACCAAAAACATACAATGGAGAAAAGACAGCCTTTTCAACAAATATTGTTGGGAAATTGGGTATATGCGTCCAGAAAACTAAAACTAGACCCATGTCTTTCATGCTATACAAGTAACAACTCAAAGTGGATTAAGAACTTTAATATAAAACCTGAAACTTTGAAGCTAGTGCAAGAGAGAGCCGAGAATACACTGGAATTAATAGGCATAGGCAAGGAGTTCCTCAATAGAACTCAAACGGCTCTGCAACTAAGAGAAAGACTGACAAATGGGACTACATGAAATTAAAAAGTTCCTGCACAACAAAAGAAATGGTCTCTAAATTGAAGAGGCTGCCCACAGAATGGGAAAAATCTTTGCCAGATATACATCTGACAGGGGATTAATAACCAGAATATGCAGGGAGCTCAAAAAACCAAACCTCCCCAAAAATCAATGACCCAATGATGAAATGACCAAATGAATTGAACAGAGCTTTTACAAAGGAAGATGTCCAAATGGCTAAAAAGTACATGAAGAAATACTCAACATTCCTGGCCATAAAGGAAATGCAAATCAAAACCATGTTAAGATTCCCCCCAACTCTTGTTAGAAGGGCTACCATCAAGAACACAATGACAGATGCTGGTGAGGTGGAGTGAGCTTTCTCTTGCTCTCCTGGTTCTCCTGAACCTAACTGGGGACAACAGGAGATGCAAAAAGGAAAACGATAGACAAATATGCAGAAAGTTGGGGCCAGGTGTGCTGGGTGCTCAGATGGAGATGCACAGCAGCCTTGTTGCTTCTTTCCTCTAATAACTCTCCTTTTACTTCTCTTTTTTTCTCTATTCTTTAAGGCCTTACTTTGAAAGTCTTTCTTTAAAACCTCGCTTCTTTCCTATCCTTTAAAGTCTCTTTCCTTAGACTTGCACTGTCCCAGGTTTTCTCTTTAGCTTTCTTAAAATCTTGGTACTCAGACTTGCAGACAAACAACAGTAGCCATGTCTAAAACCTGCATCAGCATAACTCTTAAAGTCTGGTCCTTATACTTGCACTGTTCCATGTTCTCGTTAGCTTTTCTTTAGCATAGCATTTCTAAACCCTATGTATAAAGTTCTCAGTGCAGAAAGCTGCTCTGATGAGGACACACAACAGCCAGCAGCAGCAGCAGCCAATCAAAATCCCCCATCAAAACCTCATGTCCTCTTTTAGGGAGTCTTTAATATCCAGTAGTAAACAAGGAAGTGGAGCAACAGTTCTCAGGGAGGGGCATGACATTGTAACAAGAGAAACCTGCCTTCCTACTTCTCTGAACATAAACTACTTAGGAAAACAGCTGTGCTTTCCTAAGCTGTGCACTTTGCTCTCTTCTACGGCTGGGACCATGCCAAACTCAGCTTATAGACCACTGGGCACAGCTGTGCTTATGTCAAGTTCTTATTGGCTTCTCATAATCCGCTGCCCACAGTGAGGAATTGGGGAAAAAGGAGCCCTCATTTCCCATTGCTGGTGGGAATGTAAATTTTATAACTACTATGCAAAACAGTAATGGCAACTCCTCAAAAAACTGCCATATGATCCAGGAATTCCACTCCTAGGGATATACCTGAAGCAATGTAAGTCAGGTTACAACAAAGACACCTGCACAATCATGTTTATTGTAGCACTATTCATAATAGCTAAACTATGGATGCGGCCAAGATGCCCCACTATTGATGAATGGATTAGGAAAATGTGGTGTTCATATACAACGGAATTTTTAATTCAGCCACAAAGAAGAATGAAATTTTGTCATTTGCAGGTAAATGGTTAGAACTGGAGAATATCATCTTAAGTGAAGTTAGCTAGGTTCAGAAGGTCAAAAGCCACATATTTTCTCTCATATATGGGATACAGACCTAATACAAATACAGCAATATTTTATGAAAAATAGATCACACTAAGTGAAGGTCTCATGCAAGAGCAAAGTGTAAAAGAAGGAAGACAAGAAGGTGAATATGGTTGATGCACTCTATACAAGAACGAATATAGAATTTTTAAACCTGCTGAAATCATAAGAAGGGGACTATGGTTGAAAGGAGAAAAATAGGTAAATCGATTTGGATTATAATATATATATACATGGAAATGTCACAAAGAAACAAACAAAAATGTCATTTTTTTCCTTTTACAAAATCAGAGAATAAGAGTGCAGAACAGGTCCCATGGGGTAGGGGTGATACCAGTAGGAGGGGGAAAGAGGTGGAAAAATGGCATGGGAAGGTGAATATACTGCAAATACTGTGTACACATGTATGTTAATGGAAAAATAATACCTACTGAAACTGTTCCAGGAACAGGGGAGATAAAGGAAAATGGTAGAGGGGGTGAATTCAAGTATGGATATATTTGATACACTGTGAGAACTTTTGTAAATGCCACAATGTACCCCACGCAGAACAACAATCAATCAATCAATCAATCAATCAATCCTCTCCATTAGACAGTAAAAAAAAAAGAATGGCCGGAAATGCATCTGTTATTCTTTTACTCATTTAACATCATCACCAAGTATTGCACTATGCTGTCCCAAATGCTCACCAAGAGGAAAGGGAAATTATGGTGTCAAGAACAAATGTTGTATGATATAGAACAGATATAGGAAAACTACAGTCCCCTGACCAAAACTATGCCATATTCTGTTTCCATATGATATGTGAACATCTTTAAGTGGTTAAAAGAAAAATATTTCATGATGTGAAATATCACTTTATTATATGAAATTTGAGGTTCATAAAGTTTTATTGCAACACAGTCACACTCATTTACATATTATGTATGGATGCTTTCATGCTACAAAGGAGATTTATGTAGCTGTGAAAAGACTACATTGCCTAAAATATTTACAGTCTGATCATTTATAGAAAAAGAGGTCTTCTGAACACTGGCCTATAACATGTTTTTTGAGCTATGTGAAGTGCTCATGTGTGCACAACTCCTAATTTACATAGTATTGTTGATGCACACCCATGCACAATTAGTGTGCTAGGACATCATGATGACATAAACCAACTTGTACATCATTTTCTTCACCCAAACTCCATAACAAACAACTAGGCAATTCTTTTCCCGAGCAACATAGTTCTGGTTTTATTAATAAGGCCGATAAACAGAAGGGATCTGCTGATTAAAACTTTTCAATTTCCATGGAATTTTGATGCAATGTATATATTCTGATAAAGAGTTTAAATATAAATGGAGTGGGTGATGATGATAATTATATACACTTATCCAAAATTGTCTATTCAAAATTAACATTATGCTATCACAGAAGTCGATCCACGGATACAAATCTAGTTAGTATAGGTCAAGTTAGACAAAGACAAAAAAACAGGAGTAGGTCTTTTGCTCACATTCACACAAAAAGCGCCAGTTACCTTCGATGGACGAACAAACTGAACACATTCCAGCCATGTGATTAAAAAGGATTTTCCGCATATAGCACATTTTCTTCCCTGAGAGATTTTGGTTTTGACCTCTGGATATGCTTCTATGGCATACATTAGGAAAGGGTTTTTCTCTTCAAGCTCATTCATGATAAACCTTGCTGTTATTTCCTACATTTAAAAAGAAGAATATGGTTCATCAAATTAACTTCAAAATTTTACATTACACTCATTTCATTTCCATTTCACTAACTTAATTTTTTGTATTATTTCTTAGTTTTTGTTAAACTAAGATTCTGAAGTATATATAATAAATTATCTTGTCAATGACTGACATTGTAAGTAAGTTTGGTTTTTATCAATATAAGAAAAATAAGTTACTTCCACTGTAATATACTTATGTCTCTTGCATATAGGAATCCAGATCATAATAAATTTACATTATCTATTTTATAAAATTAGATATAATTTAGGTTCACATTTAGCCCATTTCATTACAATAAGTAAGGACTGTACAAATATTCAGAATGGGTTCAAAAATTGAATCTGTCCTCAGAAATACAAATATCAATGTTTCCTCATATGTGGAGTCTAGATTCTTAAAAGGCATGAAAGTAAAAGGGGGACGGACAAATTTGGGAAAACTAGGTGGACAAGAACGAGAAAGAGGGAGGTGAATATGATCAAAGTAAATTATAAACTTGTATTACGATGTCATAATTAAGCCTATTATTTCATACAAATAATATATGCTAATAAAAATGAGTTTGTCATATTCACTAAGGTCTGAATCTTCATATTTTAAACTGTGGTTCACAAACCAGTAGAATCTGCATTACCTGGCACTTTATCATAAATACAAAATCTCAGGTGCCTCCATATCTACTGACTCAAAATTTCACCTCAACAAGAGGCTCGAGTCATCCATGTATGCATGTTTAAGAAGGCTTGTGTAAATTATTAGCTGCACTGAGTACATGAATAGCACCGTCTTGCTAAAGGGTACTAACTTCTATGTGCTAAACTTCTGATTTCAATCTATGTCAGACATAGTCACATAGATAGTTTACAAAATATACTTTATTCAATAATAACATTGTAATATTAAATAATAAAAAAGGTAGTGAAGAAATGGAATTGCCTTTCACAATACCATCAACATCCTCATCTTAAGGTTAAAACATACTATATAAAGCCTAAAATTAAAACTTCACTGATCAAGCAGAGAAAACAAACATTTGCCTTCCTCCCTAAATGTCCCCCCATTGTTTATACCAATAGCATGAAAGTCCTACACAAATTTTACGCAAACACTACTTAAATTGTAATAGTCTATGGGGATAGTTTAGGTGAAACTTTTATTTCCTGGCCAAAGTGAAAGAATTCCCACTAGGACTAAAATAGTCCACATCAGACTCTAAGACTAATCTAAATATATATACATATATATAAAATATATGTATATATACATATATATAATCTTTTACTTATTTACCCCAATTAAAGTTTCTTTTAATAACAACAGAATCCTATAAATTACAGTGGTCCTGCTCTCTGTTACCTTATCTCTCCCAGTTAATCTGGAAAAGCTGCCTTTATATAACAAACAAACCTGAGCATGTGTTCCTTAAATTTCTGGTCCTTCAACAATACAACCTCCTGCCCTTTAAGCTTCTTTTCCTGGATGAGTAAATGATCGAGGTCAATGGAAAGGATGAACTGGAAAATACTAATATAACCAGGACGCCTATATCTCATGTTTACTGTCACCTTTTAACTACATAAGCGGAGCACTGTTGTGATTCTAAATGAAATATTCATTTTAGAGGTCCAGATTTCTGGACTCAAACATGCTTGTTGTACTCAGTATATTTCTTGACAATTCTTACATTGGCCATTATTTATATACTTCTATATATTGCCAACAAGTTGCTTTGGAAGAGTAAGATATACAAATAATGGAAATGTGAGTATATATAAAGTAAGATGCTATTGATCTGACCTATAGAATCTTTTAAGACATTTCTTAGATATACATTTAATGCAGTTTTTGAAAATATGCAATTTAATGATGGCCTAATTCCAGAATTATTTAAAATACAAGAAATCTTTCATGGACAAATAAGTTGTTCATTTTTAATAGCTTATGAGGCATTTCACTAGACTTATGTATAAGCTAACCACATGTGGGTCAGATTCTTGTTTCTAATCCACCATAAATTGAATTTAGTTTCATGTACATTCTTTTATTTTTCCTTATATATGATTATTTAATGAAATTAAACATTAATAAATTATATTTATGTAAGCATAAAAAATTATAAAATATAGAAATGAGTATGAATCCTTCAAAAGAATGGTAGACTGAGGCTGCTGTATAATCAACTGTTGCAGTGTGTATGAGAGGTACTAACACACAGCATCATAAGCAAGGCCTCTGTCTCAGAGCCAGATAATTATAGAAGTCCAAATCCTGGCTCAAGCATTTATTAGCTGTGTGACCCTATTTGGACAAAACGTCTCTGGTCCTGGATATCTCATTTGTAAAATAGGAATTTTTCCAACACTATCACATAGAGTTTGGAGACTTAAATTAGATAACTCTACTAAAACACTTGGCCTATCATCTGTTAAACCAGTGTATTCTGGTTAATATTTTGCTATAGTCTAGTTGTAACCATTGAATTTGAGTTCATAAATTTCTAAGATGGAGAAAAGTTTTTAAAATTTTTTATCAAAGCATAGACTCTTTCAAAGCTCTATAATTCTTTGACATCCAAAAGAGTTTAATCACTAATACTAACCAAATGTCTAATGAGAAATGGCTTTGACTTTAAGTAAAAATATAAAATGTATAACCAATTTAAGTCACCTCTCTAAGAAATATTATTAAAGACACTTTCAAAACTACCTAAATCATCTACATATTGTAAAAATAATTTCCAGTATATATTCATGTATATTTCACATGTATATTCATTATGAATATGAAATTAACTCCTGTGCTTTTGAACCTTATAATTTTGAAAGTTAGAAGAGAGAATTTTTCTGTGACCTTGAATGTTGCATACATGCTTGCACTCAAGAGTTCTCAGAAACACCACTCATCCAGCTTCCTCCACAAACCAGAATCTCCTCCAACCAAGACTACTCTGTCTCTTGTTCCATCAGCCTGCTGCTTCTCCTTTCTGAAGCAATACTGTAGCAAGAAGTTTGGAGCTAAAGTGTTCAAGTTGGTATCGCTGTTCCAACACTATCTCTGTAACCTTGAACAAGAAGAAATTGAGACTGTGGGTCTCAGAGTCTTTGTCTAAAAAGCAGACAGTAATGGTACCCACCTATCTAGGGTTATTAAAAACTACATTAGTTTATTCCTGTTGATGCTTAGAACAGTGCCTGGCCCACAGTGAGCTTAAAATAAATGTTACTGTTATTATTCTGAAGTGCTCGTCTATGGTCATACCACCCTGAAAGCACCCGATCTCGTCTCGTCTGAAATGCTTGATACAGGAGAAAAATAAGATAGAAGGGATTAAAAACCTAATGCTGGTGCTTTTAAATGACTTACAATTGAATTCCAAGAGAGATATTTTTTCATACAAGACTAGGAAATAATGATTCTTGTGGAAATATTACCTGGAAAGGAATTTGAAAAGTGCTAATCTTGAAAAGAAATCAATTCTTTGGCTCAGCAGTTTCATGAATAAAGATAATATAGACATGACCAAGAAATTTACTGTGAATATGATCATGGTAGCCTTGCTTATAAAGGCAAAAAAAGTATAAAACATTTAACAGTGGGTAAATAGCTAAATACGACATCACAGAATAACGTATTCATCAAAAAAAATCTAAGTTACTTTCACTGATTGGAAACAAATTCACAATATTTAAAGTGAAAACAGTATACACATAATGTGTAGAGTTTGAATTCACCTTTAATTTAAAACAAAGGGAGGAGGGGAGGGGAGGAGAGGGTGGGGGAGGGGGCAGGGGGAGAAAGGACCCAAATGAATAATAAAAAAAAAATTAAAAAAATAAAACACACTTTGGGTTGGTCACTGGTGGCTCAGACCTGTAATCATAGCTACTTGGAAGGCTGAGATTGTGAAAATCACAGTTTGAGGTCAGCCTGGGCAAATACTTTACAAGACTGCATCTCAAAAATAATCAAAGTGAAACAGACTGGAGGTGTGGTCAAGCAGTATAGTGCTTGCTTTACAAGTGCAAAGCCACAAGTTCAAACTCCAGTCCCACCAACAAAAAACATAAAACAACAACAACAAAACATACTCTGCATGTATAGGAAGGTCTAGAAGAATGAATGTCAAAAAGAAGAGTGGTTATATCTCTGAATTTTAGATTTTGAGAATTTTTATAAATTTTCATTGGCTTCCCCCCACCAATTTCTCTAAATAAGCTTGTATTACTTTCATGGTAAGAAGATTTCTTTAAATCAGTATATCATAATTAATTTTCATTTTTTTTCTTGTTCATCTGTATTATCTAGTTTTCATGATAAACATGTAATATTTATCAATGTTATTTTAAAGTAACAAACTAAACAAACTAAACCATTGAACAAGGTTGGTGATTTCCTGCAGCCAGGAAACTTGAACCCTAAATAATTCTTCAAAGTCTTATGACAATCTTACATGTTCAGCTCAGATCCCAAATGAATCTGAGAAGTCCAAATTCATGATGGACAGTTATACTCAAATATGGGAGGATCTGCAGTCTTTAACCTGTCTATTAGGAGAGGAATCCTATAAAATGCATTCTTATTCCTTCTCTTAATATCATCAACTTTTATTCTCCTAACATGAACATGAGTTCTGGATCACATTCATTAATTCACTAGGAAAAGAGACAAATGAAAAGGAGATTGAAGAGGTAAAGAGCCAAGAAGAACAAATCAAATGCATCTTTAATTAATACTAAAAAAATACTTTAAAGGCTAAAGTGAAAAAGAAGTTGCTCTTTTTCTTTTCACCCAACACCATTTTTCTGTCTTTAGTCACTTTGGAAATCAAATAGATTTCACTGGATTCTGTAAGCAAGTCGAAAAATTATATGTAGGGTCCACATTGTCAACAAACTAGGGTTACCTTAAACATTTTCTGTCTTGGCAAGAATGGTTTAAAAGAAAAACCTTTAAAATTTACACCATATCATTAGTTTGAAGACTTATGTTTATGAGCTAAACCTTCACCTGGAGACTCCAGACATCGTCCTGTTGTGAAGCAGTAATTGGCTGCTTCAGAAAGAGTGGATTTCCTTCACAGTAGAACTCCCGCAGCTTCATATCCTGAAACTTGCCAAACAAAATAAGATCTTTATTGTAGGTTTCACCTACAAAGCTACATCTTCAATGAAATTAGACTAAAATAACTTTGTTTAGGATGTATATATTGTATTAGTATTTTAAGCACAGAAATACTCTAGTTGTTGAAGCATGACCACAGAGGTTACTGGCCACATCCCCCATACCAAACAACTAAGAAAGATTGTTTAGGGTCACAGAATAATCAGTGATACAATAAGGTTTAATAAATCATATGCTGGGAACATTTGGTAAGTATTGTATTTGTTTCAAAACCAAGAACAACAAAAAATATTCTAAAATACACCATACTACAAATTTTAAAGTTTGACTCATTATCCATTTACGGTCAATGAGAAGACAAGAAAAACATAAGAAAATTAAAACACTCTCCTTATAACCTGTTGTGCACAAAGAAAATGAAAACAGGATGGGGTGTAGCTCAGTGACAGTGCTGACCTAGAATGTGTGAGGACCTGGGATTGATCTTCAGCAACACAAATGAAAACAAAAGAAAACAGAAAATCATAGGAAAATGTGCAGATCACAAGGATATTTAATCTTTTGCAAAGAAAATCCAAATCTTATCAGAGTCTATCACTTCAATAGAAAAATAAGAAATTCATTTATATTGATATTATGTCTTACTCTCAAGAACCTATGTGACGTTAAAGGTTAAGCTAATTTAGAGAATTACTTCTTTATGACTAAATCTCAGCTGTAAAACTGAAGAACCTATATTCAGTGGTATGCTGATAAATCAGTTCTCTGGAGGAAGGAGAAGAGAAAGGAAAGGAAGAGAAGGGAGGTGAAGGGAAGGGGAGGCTCTGATTAGTGGTATGTGTTGATTTTGTGACGTAAATACTCCTACCACAGCTACTCAAGTCACTTAATGAAGAATTGGAAAGATGCGCAAAATCGACTCTTATGAGGCAGAATGAGCTGACTCCTTCACACCACAGCATTTCCCAAAATTTATGAGAGAACTGGAAATTTCCATGATTTCAGCACAGAATTTGAAAGATGGAATGCACTCAACAAATTAAACATAATTGACATAAAATGTCTTTCCAGGGCATCATGTCATTAGGTTTCAAAAGTTATAGCAAAGTTTGCAACATAGACAAGACTTTTGAATAAAATACAGAGCTCAAGTCCTCTTTGCTATGACATTTAGTCCTGGCCTCACAACAGATAATCTGACTTTCTCAATTCAGTTTCCTATGTTATCTGTCTCATGGGAACTACCTACAGAGTTAAATCCAATGGCAACCATAAGTCAGTGCTGGATGTTCTGAAATAAAGAGGGGCACTTCTTGTGCTTAATGTTTTACTAATAAGTATCATTCCATGATTTGATCCTAAATCTACAGTCCTTTAAAAAAAAAAGATTCAGGCATGACATCTTGGTCTGTGTAAATACCATTAACATATTTAAATATCATTTCAAATTTGACTAGAGTTTAAAAGGTCATGCATTTCTCTTTAGGGTCATGTTTCTCTTACTTCAGGTCCTGTCACTATCCTTTAATCAAACATGGTAAAGAGTTTCCAGCTTGCTAACCAAGTACACATCTTAATGGAAAGAAAATCTAACAGCATGTGACTTGTAGCAGATAAGCTTCAATAACCTAAAGTCATCAATCTTTTGATATCCACTGAATATTCCTCTGAGCAACCTCTTTCAGACCCTCTTACTTTATACACTACTGGGTTTCCTGCCAGTCTAGCTTCTTAAGAGAACATTTCTTACTAATATAAACATTTTAAAAATAAGAGAGAAAGAACATTCTCTGCCACCATGGTCACTCCACTAGTAAAATCATCTACCTTCTCCCATGATAATAATATATTGCTAGGACTTTTCAGAATCTCAGTGCATGCCTATTCAAGCAAGCAGAGTTCAATCTCTATTGAGAAAATTTTGTGCCCCGTCCTATACTCAACCTGGGTTTGCATACGCTTCTGGTTGTCACAACTGATAGAAGGAATGCTAATGCCATGCAGTTGGTAAAGGTCCGGGATGCTGCCAAACGCTCTACAGGACACAGGACCCAGCAACAAGGGATTAGCAAACCAATAATGTCAATAATGCTGAAGTTGCAAAATCTGATTTAAAGGCACAAGAGTATAAAAATGTCACTAGCCCATCTGTTCCAAAACAGAGATTGTCAGCTGGAAGGCTCAGATGAGAGTTTATATTTTTAAGGTAGGAATATGGAGAAGGTAAGCACCAATATAGAGAGATTAATATAGAGGATAAAGAAGGAACAATTAAAAGATATGACCAGGTTAAGAACACTGAATGATCTTTGAATATTGCCTTTTTTTTTTTTTTACTTATGTTCTCTATGGCCAGAGGAAAGTAAGGGTAAAAGCATACAAGAATAGGTTTGAAAGCATAACATTGGGTGGCTGAAAGAGTCGGACACGATCCTGTTAACTCTGTCTTTGAAATAGAGAGTAA